CCAGAGTTCCTTGTTCACCTTGTAGGCCTGTCTATTGTTTGGCTAAAAGTTGAGCCACAGGGGTTCAGTTCAGTTACTATCTTGAAGGGTGTCAAAAGGCCATACTCTCAGGGGTTCCACCAATCTTCATCAGATGAATGTGTGTTGTCTTTTTAAAGATTTTGAGTTTTGTTCCACATTTTTCCTCATTCTATCTGGGACCTCTTATTGTGCTCCCTTTCAGAGTGGTCAGTAGTGGTAGCTAGGCACCATCTAGTTCTGGCCTCAGGGTTTTAGAAGTTGGGTTTCATGTGGTCCATTAGTCCTTTGGACTACTTGTTTACTTGCATCTTTGATTTTCTTCACTCTTTTTGCTGTGGATGGAGAGAGACGAATAGTTGCACCTTAGATGGCTGCTCACAAGCTTTTAAGACCTCAGTTGCTAATAACCAAGGTAGGATGTAGAACATCATCTTTGTGGACTATGTTATGCTGATTAATGTTAGTATCCCCTGAGACTGTGGTCCTGAGCCTCCAAGCCCAATGACTCGTTCCCTCAAGATGTTTGATTATGATTAAGAAGTTTTCATAACTTTGCTCCCTGTATGTTCTATTACATTCATGGCTCTATTTGCAGTACAGATAAATACATGGGTAGAGATATTCTCTGTAAAACCTCTATTCATGAATGTAGTCCCATTCACCTTCCTAGACCTCTTCAGATTGTGTGTCAATATATGTATCCACTTGTAGACTATTATTTTTACTGTTATTGCAGAATTGTGTTTGTAATAGTACTCACCGTTGTTACCTTTCACTCTTGTGCTTTTCTCTGTCTTCCACTGCCTTGGTCATTCTGTGCTGACCTCTCCTGTATTGTATATTGCTTTTCTCTTCATGAAAGTTAATACGTATCTATCCTCCAGATGGTGATTTTCCCTCACTTTTCCTCCCACTCCAGTAATCTTCAAAGAATGATCCTTTATCTGTGTAAACCTTTTCTTAACATTTTACAATTATTTTTAATGATCAAATTATGGTAGTTTGAGCATTCACTGGGCTTTTTAATAAAACTGATCTCACTCCAAATATTCTTCAAACCTGTCTAGTAGTACCCAGGGATGCCGCATATGAATCTCTAAAAAACACACACAAGAACACATCTGCCAATGGCTATAACCACTGGATGTATACCCTATTCTTAATTCTTCTCCATTTGCTTCAGCTCTGACTTGTCACATTGCTTGTCTGAGAATCCATTTGGTGAAGTAATACCATTCCCTCTGCCTATAATGGTATCTCCAATGTCTGTATCAAAGATAACTCTATTTTCTTAAAGTTTTGTCTTCAGAAGTCAGAACACTGCTGCTTTCCATGCAAGGTTGGGTAGGAAGATACCCTTGCCTGCCAAAGTCTCACAAAGTCTGTTATTTTTTTTTTTATTATTTTAATTGTGATTTGGGTGAAATTTTACAAAACAAATTCATTTTCCATATAGCAGTTCACATACGCTTTGTCTCATGACTTTGACTGCAATTTCCCACAATGCAACAGCTCTCTTCCTACTTCCTTTCCATAGTTACCTCTTCCCTGAGTCCTTCCCTGCCATGCACTCCTGCCTCCTGAGCTGTCTCCCTGTGCATACACAGCCCTTCTATTCTCCCATGATTGATCTCTCCAAGGAGTGTATCTACCTAATGTAAATGTTCAGCTCATATGCTT